GAGCTCCGTCTCCGCTTTTTCCCCCATTGTCCTGAACACATCACCACACTCCGCTTTTACTTGTTTAAAATCTTTTATTTAAAACTCAAACACCACAAAGAGTAAAACATCTTGACCCTACAGACAGGGTGAGGGTTCAAAGGTCAGAGATGGGGTTACCTCACTGCAGATACATCAAAATAAAAAACTTAAAAAACCCCAAACTGAGTCTATTTACAGTATTGCCTTAGAAGTGGTGAGTTCACCCTGACCTCAGCAGGTCACACACTTTGACCTGTTGAATGACAACACACCAGTTCAAAGGCAGCAGGGGGCGCTAACACAGCAACAGTAACGACCACTTCAAAGCGACTGTGGTGAGAAAAACTAACATAAATAAATAAAATGTGTATTTTTCATTTTAGATGGAAGGAGTTTAGTGTAACTTTCTTCAAGCCGTTTAGCCTCTGAAATGCATTAAAAACGATCATAAAACATCCAAATCACACAATTTCAGTTTATTTCACATCAGCTGATATTTTCGGAAGCACCGCCCCGTTTTTCCTGACTGGCTCCTGAATGTTCCAGCTTTAACTCTGATGGAGGAGCTGATATCGTGAAAACTCAAACGCTCCCCTCACATTCTCAGCTTTATTATTAAACTAATCACTTCCTGTTTCACTGTCATGTTTCTCAGAGCTACTGGCTGTAATTGGGCGCTGAGCTGATCACATTTAGTTATAGATTCAGGGCAGAGGAAGTCAAAGGTCAAACAGTAAAACAATAAAAGGAAGGTCATGAGGAGATTTGGAGAGCGCGCCCTGCTGCTGGGAAGGTGAAAGTGTGTTTATCGGATGGCTGCAGTTCCTGCTCGCAGTAAACCACCAACGAAAACCCGAGCAGACGGCGAGGTGGGGCCGGGCTGATCAGACGAAGCGGGCTTGGACTCATTGGTCTAATTTTCGTCTGTCTGTAGCTCTAACACGCTAACGCTGGAAGCTAGTGGCTTTCTGCTGTGTTGGAAGAGTAGGACAAACCATCGGGAGGTCGTTCAGTCCCCTCGGAGGAAACGCCGCCCCTGAAATAATAAAGAAAACGGCGACCAGAGGAGCTGAAACCCACTGAGGACGCGGGAAGCTCAGCAAACTAGCGAGGCGTTCAAACGCGGCTCAAAGTTCAGGGTGGGGAAAAGAGGGAAACGTGGCGTCTTCAGCAGGAAGCGTGGGGTTCGGACAAAATCTCTCAGAAATTCTCTAAAATTAAACACTTGACTCACAAACGCAAACTATCTCAGGGGACGCCGCCGCCAAGGAGAACAGGAAGCCACACAGACGACGGCCAGCTACAAGATTAGACATCATCATCATCGTCGTCATCCTCCTCGCCTTCATCGTCCGCCTGTCTCTTCCTCTTCTGTCCCTGAGCGCCCGCCGCATCATCTGCAGAAACATAACGGACCAATCAGGGCACGCCCCGCCCACCTGGAGCCTACATACAGCTGCAACACTGAAACACATGCTCACCATCCTCCTCCTCTTCGTCTTCCTCATCGTCATCCTGAGATGAAGCACAGAAAGAAGAGAAGCAGATTTACGTTTCTGACTGGACGACTCTGACAGGAAGTGAACGAACACGTTATCAGAGGAAACAAATTTAACTCGTCGTCAGGTTCAGAGGACCAAAAGTGCCAAAAACAGATGTAATAGAACATAATGAAAAACAATAATGTAGGAAATAAAAACAAAATGAAATACGTCATAAAAGAAGGATAAACAGATACAAAGAAATGATTACATTACAAATGGAGAAATACAAAAGTGTCGCTTTTGGTGAAAATTTTTTGTCAATGACAAATAGTTGTTTTGGTGCTTTTAATCCTCAAAACGGTCAGTGACGGGGGGCGTGGCTGACAACAGAAGGTTTGGCTGTCGGACACACACACACACACACACACACACTGCGGGGAAACTCGGGGTTCAGGGTCTTGGCCAAGGACACTTTGTCATGCAGACTGGAGGACCTGGGATTGTCTGCTGACCCCAGGATCATCTGCGGCTCCACCTGCAGGATGAAGCTGGATTTGCTCACCTGGTTGGCGCGGTTCACCTGGAAACCCAGCCCCGCCTCTGCACTCTCCGAGCCGTCCTCGTCCTCGTCTTCCTCCTCATCGTACGCGCCAGTTGGCCCCGCCCCGTCCTCGCCATCCTCATCTGCAAACACGCACACGGGCATGACGAAACAGAGACGAGGAGGAGGACGGCGCTCCGTCTGAGCGGGTCTCACCTTCGTCCTCCGCCTCGGAGTCGGGTGCCTCGTTGTCCTCCTGGTCGAAGCCGTCCAGGTAGGTCACCTGGGGCAGCAGCTCAAACACGCTCTCCCGGTACTCCTCCAGAGACGTGATCTCGCAGTTAAACAGGTCAAGGCTCTGCAGGCTCTTCAGGTGTTGCTACGGGAGGAAACGACACGTTAGAACCTCAGAACGTTTCCTCTGTGAGCATGGCTGGAGCAGCGCGAGAACCCCACCAGCGCCTCCACGGTGCTCAGCTCCTTGATCTTGTTCCCACTCAGGTTCAGGTAGGTCAGATTTGGACATTTCTCCGACAGCATCTCAAGAGAACCCGACAAATTGTTATCGCTCAGCTCCAACTGAGGGGGAGCAAAGACAAGAATGTCAGGAAAACCATCGGCCAGGAGAACCACAGTCCATGTGTGAAACAAAAAATTAGGATTTCTTCCTTTTCACTTTGTGGGTCCACTACACCTTCATTTACACATTAATTTAGCAGATTTTGATTTTGGTGGCATTGGTCCTTCATACTGCCAGTTACACCTGTCAAAGCACAAAGGCCCCCTGCTCGTTAGATCTCTCCCACCCGCAGAGTGTGCTCTCTGACCTCAAACCCAATCTCCTTCTTCCCCCTGAAAATGTTTGAATGCACCGTTGATGAGGTCAGACAGGTGAGCTCACCTTGCGTAGTTTGGGCAGCGAGGGCAGCTTGGCGAACGAGGTCAGACCAACGTTGACCATGCTGAGGAACTCGAGCTCCGTGAACTCATCGGTCAGACCGTCGACCTCGCCGTCTGCCGAGCGGCTGTTGTCCAGCACCAGCTCTGCGATCTGAGGACAGAGCAGAGCATGATGGGACATAAGCCTCCATGTGTGTTTTATTAATCAGTTTGAACATGAAGTATTGATGAACCCTATACCTGACTGTACAGAAGACAGAACGTGATAGATGTGATATTTGTTTATTTATCAGTTTATAAGTCAAGTCCGAGTTAACACGAGGACCACAGTCGAGGTCATTCTGAGCCTGTACAAATTATTAATTATACTTACAGGTTGCCTGGCAACTCATATTGATTAAGAAGGCTGCTGTAACATGAGCCAGAGCGAGCCAGGCTTGATGGACAGGTAAACACTCACACTTATAATCAGAGTGGGCGGAGAGTGTGGAAAACCAATCAGAGCAAATAAAGGTAAATCCAGTAGAGATGGCTCGACAATGCAGCTGAACAGGTGAGTGCAGAGCAGGTAGTTATCTACATGTAAATAAGCCCTTTTGTCACGTTTGATCGTCCACACAGCCTCCGTCAACTGGATCAATAATCTGATCGGAGATCAGGGTTAGTGACGTTGACTCTCGCTGGCTTCCTGTTTATGTAACGCGCCCGCACCCCCTCCCAGCTCCTGTAGGGAGGGGGCGGCACTCACCATCTGCTCTCCCCCCCCCGAATGGCGGAGCGTGTTATTCAACTGCTGCGGCTTATATAACGCATGAGCGCGCGCACGCGGCACCATACGACGGGCGCACGGACTCCGGTACTTCGCTGTAACGGAGATTAGGACATTCCCGAGCAGTAATCCAGCCCTAATCTGCAAGGCTAAAACCGGTTACCCGGTACTCTCGTTACAGTTACGGCCCGCAGAGTCCGCCAGGAGAGAACATTTCCGCGATTAATCCGCTTCTGTGACCCGGTACCGCCTCTGAAACGAGCTCCGTGTCGCTGTCCCGGAGGCTCCGAGGAGTGGTCTGTTCCGGGACTCACCGTCCACCCACGGCGGGTTACCCTGCCTCCTCACGCCGGACCCGCTGGGATTAAGACTATAAACCCGCTGCTATTCGGACGGCCAGAGCTGAAGGATGCTCCGCATCCCGTCGTGACCGTCAGCTGGACGCCCGAGAGCGGGCACCCGGATCCCGGGCGCACCTGCCGGGCCACATCAAAGACCGAACGGCTCACCTCCGCCGGGTTCCGGTTCCGCAGCTCCAGGGTTATCCTCTTCTTCATGTCCATTCTGTGGCAGCTGTGTGGCGGTGAACGGCTGACGGCGTCCCGGGGTCGGAGCGGTGCCTGCCTTCCTCTGCTGGCTGCCGTTCGCCTACTGATCCTCCATGATACGGCGAGCCCCGCCCACCACCCACGGGGTTGGACGTGCACGCCTGAGCCACCGCTGATTGGACGGCGGGCACATCAATCAGACTTGATTAGGTCTAGGTCGTTTGTCATGAAACCCAGACGGCACTGCAAAGCTTCATGGGAGTTGCAGTTTAATCGCACAAAAGCTTCCTTTTTCTTTCATTGAATTAAAGAAAGATCAGAGTGAAATAAAGCAGTTCTAATAAAAAAATGAACCGCTCTATAATTATTTACAGGACGGAAGCGCTGCACTAGTTTCAAGAGTATGAATACAATTAAACTTGACTTTACAGCTGGCTCAATAAATGCATCATGGATATAAAACTTAAACATCATTGTAATCATTTTGCCATCACAGCAGCAGCTGGCCCTTGTTGCTTTGTCAGTCTCCCAGCACTCATCACCCCTGTTACCAATTAAGTTTGTGCAGAAAACACTTGAAGGCAAAAATCAGAGCCTGGAGCCGTTTCAAGATGCCACGGTGTCCAGCTCAGTTCTTCATCCAGAATCAGGGACGCGTTGTTCATTCGCCTGTAAGCTACAGGACAGGAGCTAAACTAAAACAGGACATTTCCTTAAGGTCAGTAAACACCTCGCTGTTAGCTTATGAAACAAGCTTTTATTGAAAGGAAGAAGCGTTTACCTGAGATCACAGGTACACAGGCAGCCGCCATCATCATCATGAAGCATTAAGGTACAGTTTACAAAAATACAAATTTATATGTACACTGAAAAAGTCGACGTCACTGAGTGTATAAAAATGGCTGAAGTTATACAGGTGATGGAGGACAGGTGTGTTCTCAGGTGGGCTTCTATAAGGGAGCAGGCTGGGCAGACATGAGCCTCGCAGAGGAGCACTCCTGCAGCCTCAGGTGTGACATCGCCTGTCTCTGAAATGAAAAAGTGAGCGGTGGAGCAGTGCAGGTGAGGCACACTGTCCAGGATCAGGCAAGCTCAGCTATACTTGACACTTTTCACCTGGCAGGCCAATTAAGGTTTCCATTTCCTGTCTAGAGTATCCTGGAATGAATTAGCGTTTAGCACTTCCTGTCCTGACAGGAAGTGAAAGATTCTAACAGGAAACACATTATTCACTGTGAAGCATTTACACAGAACAGCTGTTTGCTTACGAGACAGCTGAGTGGCGGTGACCTTGAGGTGATGTGACCAGTCTGATGTTGGTGTAAAAATCAAAACATGTAAGTGTCACAAACCAAAGTGGGAGGAGTTAAAAGACCAAATTTAAGGACGGTTATGTAGATGAGTGAGATAGTGGAGGAGGGTGGAGCAGGGGAGCGTCACACTGCTGGTCATGTGACTTCAGCTTGCTCAATAGTCACCTGACCTTAGCGTGCCCCTTTAGAAACCACCTGGAAACAACATCATAATTAATGAACAGAGTCCATGATGGAGCTGGTTCAGCTCAGGTCAAAGGTCACAGGAAGACAGAGTAACGCTTCCTGCAGCTCATGAACACAAGGTCACATCGGAAGAACACAGGAGAGTCCGAGCATTCCTGGAAAACCGGCTCCTTTCACAGCACCCTCCGCTGGATGGTGAAGGGGGTAAAGCGGGTGTGAGTGGCAGGAATCAGTCCATAGAAGGAACATTTGAAGAAGCTTCCTCTCCGCCAGCGCCGGGCAGAGGAAACACGTTAAAGCGGCATTCGGGGAACAAATGGCTGAGGGTAAACGAGGTCCCTCTTCCTCCTCGGGTCGTCAATGTCCTCTACGCGGCAGCCATTTTGGACCCTGCTGAAAAAAAGAAGTGAAAGGTTTCTAAACCGGGGAGTCTGGATGGCACTGAGCCGAATTCCGCCCCCTGTTGAAGCATGTGTCACGCCAGGATCAGGTCTTTTTGTGGGCATGAGTACAGCGTGCAAATCCCGCCTGCTGCGCTCCGTTAGGAGCTCACCTCCGTCGCCTCTCCCCCCGCCTCCACCAGCGTCACTTGACCCTCCTCTCCCTCCATGATGATGCCCCCCTCCTGCAGCACCACCATCTCGCCCTCCTCCTCCACCACGCCGCCAGATCCCTCCTCCTCATCCTCCTCTCCTCCCACCACCTCCTCGGGGCTGGCAGCAGCGTTGGTGGCGCCAGCCGCCGTGTTTGCGGTGGCGGTGCCAGCCTGACTCTGGGCCATGGCCTCCAGCTTGATGCGGTACTCCTCCGCCTCCTGCTCCTTCCTCAGCAGCTGCTGTCGGTACTCCTGCGCCTTCCTGTTGGCCTCTTGCAGCTGCCTCTGCAACAGCTCCTGCAGGAAAACAAATAATCCTCATCGATCAGCACAAAACCATACAGACCAGCGCACCCCACCCAAACCACGGAGAGAAACCCATGTGGTGTGACATGTGCACACGAATTGAATGCTGGTGTGGTTTCAGACATTTGTAGCACTGAGGGGATTTCGAAAGAGGAAATTGTCAGATTCATGAAACTGGACTTCAGGTTTGGACATCACGCTTGAGGATCACGCCGTACGCATTTGCAACTCTTTTGGGGAAATTTCTCTCCAAACTAACCCACACTGTGAACCCACCCACAGCACCGGCTCACAAATGATCCCCGATTCAAATCTAATTCAATTACAGCGGGGCAACGACAACGGTCTAACTTCCTGTTGGGTTTGTGGCGTGGTTCCAAGAGGCACGGCCATGTTAACGGCGCTACAGAGCCATATTCAAAATAAAATAAAAGCATTGGATGAAATCAACTTTAGATCCACACACAGTGGAGCTGGCACACATCATTCAGGCGAACCCAGCTCTGCAGGTTTATACAAATCTGACTGACGCGCACGCACACGCGCTTCTTTATGGTCCCTCAAGACTACAGTGGGTCATTGGCAGTGTGACATCATGTCAGGCCTGGGGTCAGTGTTGTTTTCTATACACTGTAAAACGCAGCTCGCTGAAACTGTGAGCGGCGTTCAGAGGTCACTGATCACATTGTGGAGGCGGCGCTCACCGTCTCTCCCGTGTTGTTGTGGTTGTTGGTCACCTCCAGCTTCCTCTTCCTGGAGGGCGGGGGCTGCGGCTCCTCCGTCACCACCTCCTCTGTCACGGTGTTGGCAGGCACGGCAAGCACTGGATAAGATAAAATAAAAATCAGGATGTAAATGGCCTCAGGACTTCCCGCCACTTCCTGTTCAAAGGCATCAGCATCATACTCTGCTGTCCATGCTGCATGGTGACGAAGAACGGCTGTGCCATCCCTCCTGTTGTCTGCAGGTTTCCGTGCTGGTCGGTTACTATGGTGATGACCCTCTGACCACCTTCGTTTACGACTGTGGCGTGCTGGATGTTGGAGTCAAGAGCGCTGGCAGCCATCGCTTCCTCAGAGTCTCCTGAAAAACAAAAGGGGGTCGTTACAGCGATGCGGTCTGCGGCTTCTCATCGGTGTCCGGGACCGCGGTACTGTTTGTGCAGCATTTCAAAAATGGCGTGAAGGAGGCGCTCTCGTGACTCAGAGTATTTCCACTGACCAGCCATTCGGTGGCAAGGAATCTGCTGAGGTTGCATTTTTGGATTGCTTGGAAACCCCCGGTGTAGTAAGTACTGAAAAATGACCAGGTGCTACCACCGTGTCAAGCTGTGACGTGCCGATCAAAGAGGTAGAGATGGAAAAGGGCTGTGTGTGTGTGTGTGTGCGCGCACACATCTCACCTGCATTGGCCTTGTTGAGCAGCTCGGCCAGGTTGACCACGCCCCCCTGAATGGCAGGTATGCCCTGGATGATGAACTGTGGTTGGTTGGTGGTGCTGCTCGTCTCCACATTCATGCTCACCTGGTTCATATTCACCTGATTCTGCATGCCCTCCTACACACACACACACACACACACACACACACACACACACACACACACACACACACACACACACACACA